TCTTTCCCTCTGTTCTCCCCAGGAACCAGCAGTTAGCGTAATGGCTATGTCGCTGGACTCCCATGTAGTCAACTGCAGTTGAAGTCCCAGACCTGGTGGCTTAAAACTCACGCCGGGCACGTGTGCGTGCGTGCCCAAGATCCCGAGAGGAGAATGGAGGAGAAGGGATTGCGGCGTGGCCATCCCCCCTGGGGGGGTGATTTCTTGCTTTCTGTCTGTCTCTCTCTGTCTCTCTGGCAACCGCATGTGCCCTGTAGCAAAAACCTCTCCAAAAAGAAAAAAACACTGACTGGGCACTGCGTCCTGAGAGCGGGGCAGCTGCTGGGCTCAGACAGAGTCACTCCCAGTGTCTTTTTTTTTTTTTTTCTTTTAAAGTTTTTGCCATAGGGTGCTTGTGCTTACTGGAGAGAGATGCTGAGACGGAAAGTGAGAGACCGCCTCCCACGTGGGATGGGTACCCCGCAATCTCTTCTCTTCTATTCTCCTGGGATTTGGGGCACACACCCCCATATGCCTGGCAAGATTCTCAAGCCACCAGGTCCAGGATTGGAACCGTGGTCAGCCAAGTGAGAGTCCAGCGCCTTAACCATTACACCACCTGCTGCCCCGTCCCAGTGTCTTATGTAGACCTCTGGGCCATGCTGACCGCTGCACGTAAAGCAGTGGCCTACCGTGTGCGCCCAGGGACACAGAGACAACCGCTGTGTTCACGTTTTAGCCACACCCGCTTAGTGAGGGGCAGTTCACACTCTGCTTGCTTATTCCAGTGTGCGTATTATAGGTCCTCCTATGCATTCACAAACCCTAACGTGTATTTAGAATTGTACAAAGCACTGAAGCCAAAGTATAAATGGAATAAAATAGAAATATTGTTATCCTGTGTCTCACCCTTAGAACAAACCACCCAGCTCCACATGCGTACACACACACACAACCCCACAACAACCCAAAACACACAGAAACCCACAACAACCAAGAACCAGGCTACCTTCCCCTCCATCTGTCACCAGCACCATCAAGGATGTGGCTATTGTTTTTTTTGGAGAGGTTTTTGCTATAGGGTGCGTGCGCTCGCCAGACAGACAGAGATGCAGAGAGATAGAAAGCGAGAAACCACTCCCCAGGGGGGATGGCCACGCCATAATCCCTTCTCCTCCATTCTCCTCTCGGGATCTTGGGCACGCACGCACACGCACCCGGTGTGAGTTTTAAGCCACCGGATCCGGGACACGAACTGCGGTCTGCTACATGGGAGTCCAGCGACATAGCCATTACGCTAACTGCTGGTCCCGGATGTGACTATTCTTGTGCGGTTGAGAATTTCCACAGTAAATCAATTCACAGGGCCGGCAGGTGGTGTGGTGGTTAAGGGTGCTGGACTCCCACATGGCTGACTGTGGTTCAAGTCCTGGACCTGGCGGCTTGCTTTCTCATTTTCTCTCTCTCTCTCACTCTGTCCCTCTCTGGTAAATAAATAAATAAGTCAATAAAGTTAAATAAAATAATTCTTTAACTTATTTTTTAAAAAAGTAAATCAATTCAAAGAATGGCCAATCAGATAAACACAGGTCAAGCTTAATGGCAAATGCAATCAGCCTTAATGTGATGCCGTGAGAAATATCAATTTCCTTTAGTAACAGGAAGTGAAGCATTTAAATGATGTGTATTAAACAACAGTGTAAAGCATTTATGCTTTACATCTACAAAACATGTATTTAATAAAGATGCTATAAAAATAATGACCGTATTTGTTTTTAAGAAAAAATATACTGGAACCAGTAGGCGGGATGGTGGTTAAGGTGCTGGACTCCCACGTGGCTGATCATGGCTCAAGTCCCGGACCTGGTGGCTGGCTTTTTCATTTTCCCTCTTTTTCTCTCTCTGGTGAGTGCACGTGCCCTATAACAAATTTAAAATAATAATAAAAAATAAAATTAAATATATCATTCTTAAAAAAGAAAAATATCTATTACCTTACTAAAGAAATACCTAAATTAAGGCACAGATAAACTAATTACCAACAAACTTCTTATGTGTAATTACTTATATTGGAAGTTAAACAATGGAATAAAAGTACATTATGACAAGTAATTACTGGGAACCAGCAGTTAGCGTAATGACTGGACTCCCACGTAGTCGACCGCGGTTCGCGTCCCAGACCCAGTGGCTTAGAACTCATGCCGGGCATGTGTGTGTGTGTGCCCAAGATCCCGAGAGGAGAATGGAGGAGAAGGGATTGCGGCGTGACCATCCCCCCTGGGGGGGGGTGATTTCTCGCTTTCTGTCTCTATGTCTCTCTCTGTCTGTCTGGCGAGTGCATGCGCCCTATAGCAAAAACCTCTCAAAAAAAAAAAAAAAAAAGAAAAAAGAAAAAGAAAGACAAGTAATTACCACCATCCTCCAAAAAAAAGAAAAGGATAAAAAAGGAACTGTTTTCAGATATAGCAAATTACGTAGTTGGGTTATTGTTATTTTATATATAGACAGCACATATATAAAACTATACATGTCATTTTCTTCATCTAAAACGTCAGTGTTCAGTGGGTCATGAGTATATTATCTACAGTGTGTGAGGGAAGGAAGCGCTGGCCCACAAACTAACCTCTCACGTCCGCAAATGTTTTACCTGATTTTCTTATATGGGAGAAAATGACACATTTTTAATTGGCAACTCACCCAAGCAAACAATGTTGCTATTGTCAAACACTATTTCATAAAGAACAAAGGGAAAATTAAACTGTTTTTTCAAAAATTTTTTTTACCTCTCCAGATTTGGGATATGCGTTCACATGCACCCAGCATGATTTTTAAGCCACCAGGTCCGACACTCAAACTGTGATTGGCCATGTGCATGCCAGCTCCCTTAACCACTGGGCCACTGGGCTGCTCATGTTTTCTCATCTGAAAATACTTAATGCTCCATCTCCTGTAGAAATGTATTGGTAATTACTGGGTTGCTTTTCCCACTTGTCATTGTTTGAAAGAAAGTACATTTTTTTTTCATTTTTTACAAGAATTATTTATTTAACTTTATTTATTATCATTATTTTAAAAAATGTTTTATTACTTTTAAAATTCATTCTTAAAGCATTATTTTATTTCATTTATTATCATTATTTGTTTAATTTGACCAAATTTCTCTGTTGAGAGGATAGAGAAAGTAGGAAAGCAAGCCTCCAGGTCTGGGACTCAAATCATGGTCTGCCATAGTGGGAGTCCGGCGCCTTAGCCACTATGCCACTTGCCGGGCCCGAAAGAAAGTGAATTTATGGCCACTCATGACCCAGCTGCAGCATAGGTCACTGTAGCGTTCTGGAAGACCCTGTGGCGGGCAGTAGGAGGGCTGTAGGAGGCGGGCCTGTGAGCTGGCCTCTCCCTCCGGGACAGAGGAGGCTTACCTCTCGCAGAACGTGTGCAGACAGGGGAGGACCTTGGGGTTCTTGTACCGTTCCAGGCATATACTGCAGATCAGAAACTGCTTGTCAATCTGGCGCACCACGGGGCTTGGGATGTTGGAGCCTTCACTGGCCATCCTAGACCACTGACATGGGGGGCCGGCTGTCGGGGACCCTGTGCGCTGCTGCTGCGGACAGAAGACACAACAGTGTGTGAGTGAAGGCAGCCCCAGGTCCCAACTGCAGGTGCGAGTCAGCATTGTAGGCGACCTCAGAGGACCACAGCCAGCCCTCGCTGCGGTCGGCGTGCGGGAGCGCTCTGCTGTTTGTCTTACCCGGCACCCAAATAATCCCACACTCGCTGCGCAGACGAAGCGGATGGGAAGGGGTGTGCTGTCCGAGGAGACGTGCTCGCTGAGTTTCCTCGCCGTGACCCCAGGAGCAAAGTACCCAGGTCCTCGGCCCTCGGCAGTGGGCCCTCAGCGTGACTGTTTAGGAATGCAGTTACCCTTTATATTGTTATTAAAATCGAACGTTTTCTCAACTATCGGCCTTGAGGAGATAGGAATATACGCCAGCCCCTAACCCCAAATACGCCGCTGGGCCATAAAGCCTATTTTGCGTTACTGAGAAATAGCAGAGCGCTCTACGCTCCCCTCTGCCTAAAAGCAAGGCTGGAGTGCCCCTTTCCTAAAGGACATTTCCATTTGTAAGGGTGCCCTTCTCCCACCCCCTCTCTCTCTTTTTTTTTTAAGAGCGATTTTTGTATAGGGCACATGCACTTGCCAGAGAGACAGAGAGACAGAAAGCGAGAAATCACCACCCATACCTACCGGCTGGCCAAGAATGACCACCATTAGCATCACTAAAATTCGTTCCCTTTCCCTCCTATTAACCTATCTTTCTCCGTTTAATTCACAGGCCCAGGTCCACAACCCAAGAAAACAGAGGGGTACTTTCCCTCCCCACATACTGTGACACAGTGTGGTGACAATCTAAATTTTTAATGAAAAACTTTGTATGTGGTGCAATATTCTCTGCAGAACTCAAGGTCTGTAGATTTAAAACGAAAATGTTTCTGCCATGGAGCAGAGACAAAGGCTAGAGACAGCCTTGGTAATTTTTTTTTTAATTAAAACAAAAAATTAAGGGGCCAGCAGGTGGCATTGTGGTTAAGGTGCTGGACTCCCAAGTACGGGATCATGGTTCAAGTCCTGGATCCAGTGGCTTGAAATTCACACTGGGTGTGTGTGTGTGTGTGTGTGCCCAAAACCCCAAGAGGAGAATGGAGGAGAAGGGATTATGGTGTGGCCATCCCCCCTGGGGGTAGTCTCTTACTTTCTTTTCCTCAATCTCTCACTGTGTCTCCCTATAGCAAACTCTTTTTTTAAGTTAAAGTATTTTGCTATATGGCTGGGCCAGCATGTGGCATGGAGGTTAAGGCAGCTGGATTCCACACAGGCAATCCCAAAGTTCTAGTCCTGGACCCAGTGCTTGCTAATCACGGTGTGTGTGTGTGTGTGTGTGTGTGTGCGTGTGTGCGCGTGCATAATTGCACGCATGTGCCCAAAACCCAAAGGGATAATGGAGGAAAAAGGACTATGGCATGGCCATCCAGTCTGGAGGGGCGACTTCTCACTTTCCCTCTCATTGTCTCTCTTTCTGGCAAGTGTACGCACCCTGTGCCAAAATCTTCTTATTAAAAAAAAAAAAAGAAGAAGAAGAAAAGAGAGAGAAAGTGAGAATCACCCCCGGGGAATGGACACACTGCAGCCCCTTCCCCTCTACCCTCCTCTTGGGATTGTGGGCATGCACACAGGCAACTGGATGTGTTTTCCGAGCCGCTGGGTCCAGGACTCAGGTTGCACGCTAGGCCACGTGGAATCCAGCCATCTGAACCACGACGCAACTGGCTGCCCTGACCCAGTAATTTTTTTTATAGAGCATAGATTCGTTTATTTTTAACACCCACCATGCCATGAATTCATAGGGAATAGGTTCCAGAAGCTCAGGCTCCTTTCCATTGGTTCTCACACATGGCTTCTCTGGGTGGAGCAGGCTGGCGCTTCAATAGAACCCACGTCCCCTTCTCTTTGGCTTCCTCCTTTTTCTGGTCATTTTCTTCACACGTTTTAGGAAGCTCTCCCTGCACTTAGAATGCTTAATATGCTCAATACGCACATTAACTCTCTTGGCAAGAATCTTGCCCTTAACTTGTCTCTACAACAACGCCAACGGCATGCTGGGTAACACCGGAGACTCTTCCAGTTTTGCCAGGGTGACATTTGTGGGCATTCCTTTTGAACAGTGCCCTTTCCCTCAATGTCTACATATCATCGTCCTTGTGCGTAGATCGGCATGTATGTTGCCAAAGGAATGACCCGGTTTTCTAAAAGGCCAAGACAACATGTACCGGGTGCGTCGACAATAGGGGCTTGCTGTTTATCCATGTTACAGTTACAAATATAAATAACACCCATTTTCCAACTCTTTCTCTTCTAGATAAGTTCATTAAAAGTATGCTCAATGGACCAGTGGGTGGCATGGAGGTTAAGGCAGCTGACCCCTCATTGTCGACTACGCAGTTCAAATGCTGGACCTGCTGGTTTCAAAATCAAACTAGGCTCACGAGTACATGTGCCCACAGTCTGGTGAGAGAATGGAGGAAAAGGATTGTGGAGTGGCCACCCCTGCAGGGGGTGATTTCTCTTCCTCTCTCTCTGTCTCGCTTTCTCTGATAAGTGCATGTTCCCTACAGCAAACTATTAAAAAAAAAAAGGAAAGAAAGAGAGAAAGAGAGAGAGGAAGGAAGGAAGGAAGGAAGGAAGGAAGGAAGGAAGGAAGGGAAAAGACATAGAGGTTCAGGACTCCCATGTGGCCCACCACAGTTCGCGTCTCGGACCCGGTGGCATGAAACTCATATCAGGTGCATGTGTGTGTGCATGCACGCCCAAAATCCTGACAGTGGAGGAGAAGGGATTGTGGCATGGCCATCCTTTGGCCATGTCTCTCTTGCAGGTGCACAAGCCCTATAGCAACAATCTCTAAAAAAAAAAAAGAAGAAAGAAAGGAAGGAAGAAAGAAAGCGCAGTTAATAAACAGAACCCCGTGAGGCACCTGCTGCAGAGTGTCGGTTCAGACAGAAGTCCCTGCATAAGCAGTGTTTGGGGGACGTCTCCAATCAGCCAGCTTCATCTTTATCTGCTAGACTCCCATACAGCCTCTCCCTGAACAGCGAGAGA